CTTTTTCCGGACGCGCGCGCGCGGACACTCACGTTGAAGCGAACTTGAATCACTCTCGTGCCGCCCAGGCGCGGTCCGGGGGCGTCTACCGCGCGTCCGTGCCCATCTGCACGGGCGGCCTCCTGGCCCTCGCGCTCAAGCCCGGCGGCGGCGCCGACGGCCGGCCGGCGGTCTTCGCCGGGGGCGGCGACGGCGTCGTGCGGCGCGTCGACGGCTACGACATGCGCTGGCGGCTGACGGCAGTGTGGATTGCAAGCACTGGTTTGAGGGGTCCCCACCAAACTTCAGAACTCTCTATCTCGGCCAATTCCAAGTCGATTTGGCAGATTTTTGGACGAATCGATTGCTCTCGTCGCGTTCTCGAAGCGCGGCGAAAGAGTCTGGTCCAAACCGTTCGATTACGCGCACATTGAAGTCGGGTTGAAGATTTGGAATCCACACAGGCTGACGGACGAGGCCGCCGTCGACGGCGCGGTCGTCGCGATGTCGTTCGTCGACGGCGGCGACGAGCTGCTCGTGGGCACGGACAGCGGGCGCACCTACCGCTTGCTGGCGGGGGACCTGGGCCAGCCCGCGAGCCCGCTCACGGTGTCGCACGTCGGCGTGCCCCGCGACGTCGCCTTCGGGGCGCGGGCCGACGTCTTCGCGTCGTGCGCGTCCGACGGGGAGGTCGTCGTCTGGGACCTGTCGACCTACGACGCCATCGCGACGACGAAGCGGGCCTGCGCCGCGCCCAAGGGGCGGCCGGCCGACGCGGCGGAGCGGCCGCGGCGCGTCGCGCAATTCGGCGACGGCGCGACGTGTTTGGCGTGGGTCACGGACGTCGCGGTCGTCGCGGGCTACGGCGACTGCCACGTGCGCTGCTTCTCCGCCGCCGACGGGGCCCTGGAGTGGGCCATCCCGACGGCGCACCGCCGGCCCGTGTCGGCCATCGCGTGCCACGTGGAGCAGAAACTGGCGTACCTCGTGACGGGCTCCGAGGACGGGTCCGTCCGCGTCTGGAACCTGTCGACGCGCGAGGTCATGATGCAGTTCGCCGAGCACCACAAGGGCGTCACGGGCCTGGTGGTGGACGCGGCGGACCCGCGGCTCTTCCACTCGGGGGGGCTCGACTGCGCGGTCTTCACGCACGACCTCCGGTCCGAGAAGCGCACGGTGTCGCACATGATGCGCGAGGGCGCCTTCACGGGCCTGAGCCAGCGCAAGGACAGCGAGCGCGAGCTCATCACCTGCGACGCCAACGGCCGCGTCCTCTTCTGGGACTGCGACGTGCCCGAGCCCATTCTGGGGGTGTCGGTGGACGGCACGACCGTCGCCTGCGTCGCCGTGAGCCCCTCGGGCCGCTACTTCGTCCTCTGCCGCGACGAGATGCTCACGATCTTCGAGCTCGACGCAAACTCGGCGACGGCGCACCCGAAGCCCATCGCCGAGGGCTGGGCCCACAGCGCCAACGTCACCAAGGTCCAGTGGAGCCCGGACGAGCGCCAGCTCGTCTCCATCGGCGCAGATTCTTGCATCTGCATCTGGAACTTCTTCGGCACCTCCGACTAGGGGAATCCCGCGCCGCGACGCGCGCGCCGCCCTCAACGGCGAGGCTTCCTCGAGAGGGTAAGATTTTGAGCGATTTTGCCCTTGCCGCCTTGAGGTCGAGACGAGAGACGAGTACGAGCTCAAGTGAAGTCGCCGCGTAGTCATGTCGG